CGTCTATTATCTTATAGCAGTCAGGGTCTGATTTGACGTCCATGGCTTCTGTTACCACTGAGGGCTGTTCAGATACTTGGGATCTGGTCAGTCACCTGAAGCCATGTTGGTGTCCTTGGGCCATGCTGCCACTGAAGCCATATTGGTCTGGATGGTCTGTGCTGCCACGGGGGCCATGGTGATGTCCGGGTCCAAGCTGAACCCAAGGTCATGTCTGGGTTCATATTCCTGCTGTAGCTGGGGTCTCTGCTGAACTTTGTGGCCCAAGACACCACAGGGGACCATAGTATTGAAATCCAAGTTACAGCCTTGCCCTTCTTAGGCCCTGCCCTTCACTGGCCACTTCACAGAATATCTCTGCCCTTACAGGAGAGCTGGTCCCACTCCATACCTCTTCAGAGCCATCTCTCATGTTTCCTGATGGCATGGTGCAGAAGAGCTGGCTCTTCTGAGGGAGGTGGCCCTAGTGGGACTGACCAAATCAGCTGCTACCTCAAAACACATCCAGGTCATTGGGTGTATTTCCCATGATTTCCCCCATCTATGACCTGATGGAGTGTATGAAGGGACTGGTAATGTGGGAACCATGACCCCAGGATCTCCATGACTTAAGACAATGGTGAGATATCCGGAAGAGTTTTAATGAGGGTCTAGTGTTAATGATGAACCAGAAGCCAGAGGCTTTGAACCAGACCAACAAGGGGAGAAGAAGAGGGATGCCAAGGACATGAGGGAGCAGAAAGTTTGAGTCAGGGGAAGAATACATGATAACAAGAATGGAGATATCATAATAGAGGGAGACATTTTTGGTTTACAGAGAAATCAGGCATGGGGGAAATGTCTGGAGATCTACAAAGATGACACCAGCTAACAATCTAAGCAATGGAGGAGAGGCTACTTTAAATGCCCTCCCCTGACTATGAGATTGATGACTGAGTAACATGCCATCCTATAACCTTCATCCAGCAGCTGATGGAAGTAGAAGCAGACACCCATAACTAATCACCTAACTGAACTGGAACCCAGATGCAGAGAA